ATTATCTATTTTTAACCAGAATATATGAGTCAAAAGTAAAGGTTTCCCCTTGACATTAAGTCTAGTTGTGTCTGACTCTGGGGGGTGGTGCTCATCTTCATTTCTAAGTCGAAGCACCAACATTGTCCGTAGACAGTACCAAGGTCATGTGGTTGGCATAACTGCACAGACCACTGTTACCTTTCCGTCAAAGCGGTACCTTTGACGGTTGGCAGAAGCTGGGGCTGACAGTGGGAGCCCACCCCAGATTCAAACCACTGACCTTTCAGTCAGCAAGTTCAGCAGCTCAGCAGTTTAACCTGCTGTGCCACTAAGGGCTCCTGTGAGTCTTCACTATCATATAATCCTGTTCAAATCAGATAATCTCAATTTTATATGGCTCTGTAGAAGGGGCCTTGAAGGCGCACACACACACATACATATTCAATAGGACTCACTCTAATTGCAAGGCAAATGTGCCTTACTTTGAAATAGACTGCACTGCCAATTACTGGTTTTCAAACAGTAGGTGTTTGAAAACTGCTGTAAAATCTCTGATCCCTAATTACCAAAATGTACATATCTGAAAATCGCTGTATTAAGCAGACATAACAAGTCCGCCTTTTAAAATAAATGTGCATCTAGTCCTGGAACCACCACTTTTCTGCCAAAAAATAGCTTTCCCAGAAGCCACAGAAACAGGTGACTCACCTTTTAAATAGGTCACAATGATCCTGACATAAAACACACATTTTTTTTTCCAAACTAGAAGTTGACTTTTAACCATTTCTGAGTCAGTTTTCGCTTTGTTTAGCATGTGGGCAACTTCTAAGCAATCCTGAGTGCTTTAGGGCAGGAAATGGACTTGATAAAGTTGCCCAAACAGTAACTCTTTGAAATGAGCAAAATACGCTGTCTGCCTATAGACTGTGAAATTGCTGAGGCATATTTTTACATGAGGATATGGACCACATAGTTCTTATGGAAGTTACAATTAATGCTTTGCCTGGAGAAGCCCTTAAGATAGGTATTGAGTCTACCAGTAATTTAAAACAAGCCAAAATATCCTCTGCTACTGAGCTTCCTTGAAGCAGAGGGCTGACAAAGATGGACTGCAATCCCCACCAGCCCCTGTCATTAAAACCAAGGGTGAGATCCTGCAAGATCTGGAGAACCACAGTTTGGGTAACTTTGGTCTTGCCACATGCCTCTGGGAAACTCTCAGAAACAGATGATAGCAATGATGATGATGATAATCTCGCTTTTCTCTCCTGACCGAGACCTAAAGCAGCTCACAACATTAAAAAATGCAACTGTATCGTTTGTTTCCAAAAGATACCAATTTTAAAAAATGAGTGGCAGCGCATTGTTGGATAGGAATAAAAAATCATGTACTGATCAAAACTATCAATATGTATCAAATCACTTTGGTAAAGAGCTTGGAAAATTGCACTGTATAGCAAAGGAATGCATAGCCTCAACATAGGTTTTTTTTCAATTCCTGCAAAAGTTGTTTAGATTGGAAACAAGCTCCACAATCTAAAATCTATAAGGTATAAATTAAAAGTCACTGAAAATCACTGAAAACAGACAGCACTCAGAATAAAGATTTGACTCTGGACAGCTTATTTCTACTGTCCACTGTTTATATTTATTTGTTTGTTTTGTGTCAAAAACATTGCATAAATAAACAAGTATTAAACTGATAAAATAGAGGTAACACAAGCAGCTAAATAACTGTTATTGTCCATAGATGTACTTCCTTTATTAATTGAGATTGTTGTTGTGGAGCAAGATATATGCTTGGGGTCTTAAAAAATAAGGCATCGGGCCTAACTAACAGACTAAACAGCAGGACAATTTAGTCTTTGGCCCTAAATACACTTTACCTGGAAATAAGTCCCACTGTAAATCAATTGGCCTTGAGTCCAAGTAAATACACTTCTGGAATGGGTTATAAAATGTCTTTAAGTCACATGTAAACAGTGGCCTGAGCCTAGCTGGCTTTTCCCAGAGTGCTCCCTTTCTATCTAGTCCCTTATAAAATCTGGGATGGAGTTCTTTGAAAGAGTTTGACTCACTCAACAGAAGGATAAGGAAGAGATTAGCAAAGGAGGGAGAGGGGGAAGAAAGGGGCAAAATGTTATCATCTTTGTAAAAATTAAACAGGAACATGGGTCATCCTGCCTCGCAACTCTGTTTGGTTTAGGGAAGGATTCCTTGCCTTCATTGATCTCACCTGCGATTACTGCCCAGGTTTGCTCTGGAAAAATACAATCACATCAGCATTCTCCCAGGCGCTTCTGGGCAAAGGCCAGATGAACTAAACAGGAAGAGCCTTCTCTCTAAGGCAGCCCTTGGAACCGTGTGGTTTGAGTCCTGGACTCAAGACCTGGGATCAAATCTCTGCTCAGCCATGGACTTATGGCAAGCCTCTCATGGGGTCTTCTTGGGCCCTTTCCACACAATAAAATCCCACATTATCTGCTTTGAAACGGTTATATGACAGTGTGGACGCAGATAACCCAGTTCAAAGCAGATATTCTAGGATTTTCTGACTTGATATTCTGGGATAAAGGGCTGTGTGGAAGGGCCCTTGGAATACTGTCAAAGGCTTTCATGGCAAGAATCACTGGGTTGTTGTAGGTTTTTTTCGGGCTATATGGCCATGTTCTAGAGGCATTCTCTCCTGATGTTTCGCCTGCATCTATGGCAAGCATCCTCAGAGGTAGTGAGGTCTGTTGGAACTAGGAAAAAGGGTTTATATATCTGTGGAATGACCAGGTTCGGACAAAGGACTTTTGTCTGCTGGAGCTAGGTGTGAATGTTTCAACTGACTACCTTGATTAGCACTTGTTGAGAGGTGACATCTAATAAATTATTTATTTATTTATTTCCTATATTTATACCCTGCCCTTCTCCCCCCAAAGGGGGACTCAGGGTGGCGCCTCTCTCTCTATATATATATATATGCAGCTTGACACCACTTTAACCCTCATGGCTCAATGCTGTGGGATCGTGGGAGTCATAGTTTTACAAGGTTTCTCTGCCCAAGAGTGCTGGTACCCCCAAATATTTATTTATTTAAATATTTTGTATCCCGATCTTCTCTGCCTCTGTAGAGGGACTCAGACCAACAAACTACAAATTCCAGGATTCTATAGCAATAAGTCATGGCAGTTAAAGTGGTGTCAATCTACATTAATTCTATATTATAGATAACCAGCCATCCCCTGCCATATGTTGCTGTAGCCCAGTCTGTGTATATGTGTTTTGTGTGTGTATACATGTGTGTATATATTTGTGTATATGTGTATATATGTGGTTTTGCACATGCATAATCATATATTTGGTTGTTTTGTTTTTTTTGCTCTTTAAGTCCGTTCCGCTGTGTTTTTCAGTGTTTTATGAGTGAAGGTAACTCATTGGCCTGAGAGGTGTCTTGTGTCCAAATTTGGTGTCAATTTGCCCAGAGTTATGTTAATCCCACAAACGAACATTACATTTTTATTTATATAGATAATATTAAAGCATCACAAAGTCCTAGACACTTGGGAAGTGTCCGATGTGTGATCAAATACAAAAGCCAGCATAGTGATCTTGTTTGCTATGTACTAATCTTCTTATGTATTAACTAATAATAAAAATAACATAATAAAACTTTATTTCTAGACCACCCTCTCAACTCAGGGCAGTTTACACACACAAAAAGGCTAGTATTCAATGACTCGAGTGAGTATAAACATATCAGAATAATACACAATAAAGCAACAGTAATAACAGTGAGCTCACGATGAAGAATTAAGCATTTTGATTAAAAATAAAACAATTCAATAAGATATAGCTAACCAAAACTTAAGTAAACATTACAACAAATGCTCTAGATGCAGTCAAGTTTGCCTTGGGTAAGTCACACACTCTCGGCCTCAGAGGGGGGCAAAAGCAATCCCCCTCCGAACGAATCTTGCCAAAATAAAACCCCATGATAGGGTCAAAATAAATCAGAATGGACTTCGAGGCACATAAAAAAAATATGACACCCTCTTCCAGAGCTAAGCAATGAGAGTGCTCTATGGCAACAACTTCCCAAACTTTGCTGGGGAGGCAGTATTGTCTAAACATTGGGGGAAAGGCAGGATTAAAAAACAATCAATGTATACAGGAAATCAATAAATACAACAGTGTCCTGGTTTAGCTGACTAGTGTTACGTGTCGGTTTTACTTGGTGGTGCCAAAAACTCCTAAAAAAAGCAGGCTCCAATGCAGGGATCAACTCATTGCAAGACAAGGAAGGAAATGCCAGTTAACTGTTCCTCTTAACCACAATAAAAAAAAACCTTTCCTCTATAAGAAGGGAACACTGCAAACAAAGAGTGCATCTACACTGGAGTCTTAATGCAGCCTGATACCACTCTGTGCAAGGGAATCCTGAGAGTAGCAGTCTGCTAAAGTACCAGCACATCCTGGGAGTTGTAGTCTCCCAAGGTCTTCTGCCTTGGGAAACTACATAGGACTGTTGACTTGGGGAACCTGCTGCAGTCACCCCCTGGGATCCCCGGGGGCTAACAGGCCATCCTGGCCCCTTGGCATTATGGGATTTATAGTTTTCTGCACTCAGATGAATGGACCCTGACCCTCAGCGCTTGCAATGATCCCACTATGAACCCAATGAGTGCTGGGGTCCCATCAGACTACAATCCCAGGATTCTTAGCAGAGAGGGCTGAAGCCCTTGGGGAAACTATACATCCCAGGATTCTATATAATTGAGCCATAGAGGTCAAATTGTATAGCAGATGCTCCCCTTGCCTCGAGAGGCTCTAATCCTTTGATTCCTCCCGCTGGGGTCTCTGTACACGTGTTGGATGGCTAGCAACCCTATTCACACGAACAACCAAACACGTGTACACCCCTAAGTGGCATTATAAGGTTCATTTTGTCCCGCTCGCCCTTAATATACCATTCATACCCTCACAGATAATGAAACCAAACCAATAAAAGGCCCTTTTGCCTTTTCTCTCACCTCAATGCCACTTCCAGCAGCGCCTGTCCCACTCCATGGCTCCGCAGGAACACCAAGCCCCGCCCCCTCGCTCGCCCTCTATGGGACTTTGCAGGAAGAGAGCGGCCACTTCCGCCATTGACGGCGCGCCCCCTGGTGGAGCCCCGCCTAAAGGACACTGTGCCGCCCTGCAGCTGGGAAAAGAGGCTTCAGCCAAAGCACTGGGGCAGTCATAGAGCTAGAAAGTTATAGAGGTACACATTTTCCAAGTGAAGGGAAACTTAGGCTCACTGTATTAGCTGAGAAAGGAAGTGGGAAGTTATAGGTTTCTTATTCTTCTAACACTGATTCTTATTCCTTGTGCCTCTCTTATTCCTGAATTCATTGGTCTTTGGATGCCACTCACCCCCCAGCCAAGTCCTTGGAGGTTTCAGGTGCATCCACACTGCAGAATTAATGCAGTTTGACACCGCTTTAACTGCCATAGCTCAATGCTGTGGAATCGTGGGATCTGTAGTTGGATATGTCACCAGTTCTCTTGGGCAAAGAACTTTTTTCATGCCACAATAGGCTCAGTCCTAATTGGGACTCCCACCTAGAAATATTAATAATTACTATTTTTGTAATCCTGTTTTACCCCCAGATCAGGACTTGACACAGCTTCCAAAAAAATTAAAAAAATTCCTCTGAGGGTCCTTCCACACAGCCATATAACCCAGGCTATCAAGGCAGGAATCCCCACATTGTCTGCTTTGAACTGGAATATATGGCAGTGTGGACTCAAGATATCCCAATTCAAAGCAGATATTGTGGGATTTTCTGCCTTGATATTCTGGCTTATATGGCTGTGTGGAAGGGCCCTAAAACAGTGGTTTCCATACCTTTCAGAAGACATTTATTTTCAGTAGAACCCCCGGTGGCGCAATGGATTAAACCCCTGTGCTGGCAGGACTGAAGACCGACAGGTCGCAGGTTTGAATCCGGGGAGAGCGTGGATGAGCTCCCTCTATCAGCTCCAGCTCCTCATGCGGGGACATGAGAGAAGCCTCCCACAAGGATGGTAAAAACATCAAAACATCCGGGCGTCCCCCGAGCAATGTCCTTGAAGACAGCTAATTCTCTCACACCAGAAGGGACTTGCAGATTCTCAAGTCGCTCCTGACATGACAAAAAAAAAGTAGAACCCTAACTATTCCTGATTTTAAAAAAAATAAAAATATAGATTCTGGTTCATTTTATGCTCATTCAAATATGTCTCCCAAATTATAGCAGGTAGTTTGGGGGGATGTACTCTTGATATTTTGATAATAGTATCCCAATATCCCGAATGTCTTCCATCTCAAAACCTGTTCAGGAAATACAAAAATTCAAAAAAGAAATGTGCAATCAACATGAAAAAAATCACAGTGTGAATCACTCTTGTTCAGATGGCAAATAAAATGTGGAAGGATGAAGCTAGCAACTAAATACCTTAAAGCAATATCTGTAGCACAAAATAGTAACTACAAAGATGGTAAATCAAATAGCTGGCTTCGTGTGGTTTTATTCTAAAAGCCGTTTTAATTTTGATTTTAAAGATGGATTGTGGAATCCCTCTTATACTTTTGTGGAACTGTAGGGTTCTGTGGAACACAGTCTGGGAACTGCTGCTCTCAAAATACACAAAATACAGGGCCCTTCCACAGAGCCCTTTATCCCAGAATATCAAGGCAGAAAATCCCACAATATCTGCTTTGAACTGGGTTATCTGAGTCCACACTGCCACAGTCCACATTCCAGTTCAAAGCAGATAATGTGGGCTTTTAGTCAGCTGTGTAGAAGGGGTCCCAGAAGTTAAAACATGAGTAAAGAAATAAAATATTTAAATCAGGTTAAAAATACATCACTAAAACACATACATGTACCAGTGCAACAATGGACAATATCCAGTGTGATGTGTAAAGTGGGCCTTGTGTGGCCGCTTGTCAAATACCTGTAAGAATAAAGAAGTCTGCACATGTGTATGAAAAGAAAATAGTCTAATTTCTCCAGTTTGAGAGTTTTAGATCCTGGGGGCAGCCATTGAGAAGGCCTTGCCCCATGTTTCATCATCATCATCATTTATGGAGCCCCCGGTGGCGCAGTGGGTTAAATTCCTGTGCCGGCAGGACCGACAGGTTGCAGGTTCGAATCCGGGGAGAGGCGAATGAGCTCCCTCTATCAGTTCCAGCTCCCCATGCGGGAACATGAGAGAAGCCTCCCACAAGGATGATAAAAAACATCAGATCATCCAGGCGTCCCCTGGGCAACGTCCCTGCTTACGGCCAATTCTCTCACACCAGGAGTCACTCCTGACACGACAAAAAAAATCATCATTTATTACACTGTCAAACATCGATATATTTTGGAAGACACCTTCAGGGGATCTCTAGAAGACTCAAAATGTTTTTTTGCAGATGCAAGGCTGAACATTAGATGGTGCTAAGTAGTGGACTGAGAAGCAAAAAATGCTGAGTAGTTTTAGGACTTCATCAGATGAAGGTTTTCCTGTTTCTCCGCACTTCAAAGTTGGAATCTCACAGAGCCCATCAAATAAAAGATGACCCATTCCATGGGTTCCCCATCTCTGCAGCGTGTAGAAATGGGTGGATTTGAAAGGCAGGCAGGAATTGACTCCCTCCTCTCCCTGCACATAGAAACACTTATTTTTCCTTGGGATGGGGAGTGGTGGATTTGTATTTTTACCCTCCATTCTGTGACCTTAAAGTGTGGGTGTTCATGTGGGCGGTATGCTCATGCCCCTCCATCCTCCTTCTATCACAATTACACTTCCACTTTGAGCAGAAAATCTCTTTTCCCTATTGGTTTTCAAAACAAAGTGGTGCACTTTGCAAGTTGAGAAAGAAGGAAAGAAGCAAGGCTTCCTTGTTCCTTTGAGAGACTGTGTTACCAGAGCTGTACTCCATTAACTGTTATCCCGATTTGCACTTTAAGTGCATTGAAAGAAGTGGTTTTAAAAGCGTACCGGTGTCCTTGAAATGGGAGGAGACAATGTGATGGGAACTGATGAGAATGGTTGAGCCAGAAAGGAGAAAATGTAATCTTTCATGATGGGGAGGGATGAGTAAATTCTCCATCTTCTTTAAAGACGGAACGCAACAACAACAAAAAGACGATGCCACCAGCTTTCTCCCCTTCTGGGGTATTTTTTATGTATGTCAGGAGTGACTTGAGAAACTGCAAGTCACTTCTGGTGTGAGAGAATTGGCCGTCTGCAAGGACGTTGCCCACAGGACGCCCGGATGTTCCTTATGGGAGGCTTCTCTCATGTCCTCGGATGGGGAGCTGGAGCTGACAGAGGGAGCTCATCCACGCTCTACCCAGATTCAAACTTCCGACCTGTCGATCTTAAGTCCTGCCGGCACAAGGGTTTAACCCATTGCACCACTGGGGCTCCTTGTGGTACGAGATCCTTAAAGTAAAAACCATGCTTAGACTGAAAACTAAAAGAAACAGAACGAACAAGGGCTTGAAAGTGTGGTATTATTTAAATTTGTTAAAACAACAGGATACTTTTTTACAGTTTTGTATCCATGGGGTCTGTATCTGCTAATTAAGCCAAAAAAATAATTATACTGACCAACACATATTTGGTGTCTCAAATGTTAGAGCTGTTTCTGGGTATATTTGACATGCTGATTCCAAAAAATAACACCGGTTTTCCTCTATCAGCTCTAGTATTTGAGATACAGAACACATGCCATATACTAGTCGCCATCTGCTTGCCCATAGAAAATCATGATAACCATATTGAAGAGAGTAGAGCTGATGTGGTCTATCCAAAGCACCCCAAATCAGCACCCCAAATAACCCTAAGAACAGACCTAAAATCCAAGACACCAAGAAAAAAGTTGGTTGGGCTGCACTATTATATTTATTTAAATGCCTCTGTTTTATATACTGAGGCTCAAAACAGTGAAACGTGGTAAAAACAACACAATATTTCTACCTGATGAACCCGTGAGTGTTGGGGGACATAGAGAAGGGCCTCCCAACTGATCTTAAAGCACAGGCTGGACTGTAAGGGAAAATATGGACCTTCAAATAACCTGAACCTCAGGTAGCACTACAGAGTTTGAATTGTGCTCATAAATGAATCAGCTAAAATTAAATGCCTTCTTCACTTCTGCAAACATTTGGTGCTTGAAATATGATTATTTCCCCTTGTCTCACAATGTACAGACATTGAGTTCGCTATCAGTGCTACTTTTGATGCTTATTAATATCCTTTTGAAGTTGAGCTTTTTATATATGAAGAGGCTGCCCACATATCAATGCTGATGTTACCTAAAACACTGCTTCTTAAACTGAGTCCCAGCCCCAAATGAGGTCCTTTGCTCAATGTTTGGGTCACAAAAATTAGCAATAGTAAAAGGTTTCTGGATGCCACCCATTTACACAACTCTTTTAGCAACAACTTGCAGTGTTTACAGTGGTCTCTGCAGAAAAGGCTTCAGCTATACATAATATAAAGGAAAATCAGCCAGTTTAGTAAGACTTGTAAATGCTGTTTTATCAATAAATGCTTGAACTTTATACCTTTTTCATATACCTATATACCCAGGGTCACATAAACATTTCTTGGGCCAAAAGGAGTCGTGAATGGAAATAGCTTAAGAGGATGTGACCCAGAACACTCCACAATGGACACTATTAAATATTTGATTCAATATCTTCATTGCTCTTTTGGTGGTCAGGCGGTCACAATTAATCTCTGTACCTTTCAAATTCAATCCATGTTTCAACCATTAATAACTTGATTAATGACTTGAATACTTATTCTGAGGAACGGGTTTACAGTTGGAGAGAAGGCTAAGATTTTTTAAAACAACAGTTGACACTTTAAATGTATAACCCAGTTAAAAGTGTATTTTAGAATTCTAATTTTTAAAGAATGCCACTTTTTGCTTCTCTGAGGATGATATTTACACCTGGATTTATTTCATTTCCCTTCCAGCTTCCTTCTATAGGACTGAAAACAACATGAATGAAGATTCCCAGCTGATCCCACTCCAAGAAATAGCCAAATCCAAGCTGGATTTACTTAGAATAATGGC